ATCATATCTTCATCAGATCTTCATTTTATCATCGCCAGATTTTCACCATATCTTCACCAGAGTTTCACAGTATCTTCACCTTTTTGTCACCATAACTTCACCATATCTCTACCATATCGTTACCAGATCTTCATCATATCTGCATTTGTGTTTATCATATCTTTACCATATGCTTACCATATCTTCACCAGATGTTCACCATGTTTCCACCATATCTTCATCATACCTGCTGCATGTATCCATGGTTTCTTCGTCATGTCTTCATCATATAGTCATCTTGTTTTCGCCATATCTTTACCATATCTTTTACCATATCTGCACTGTATCCTCGCCTCAATGTCATAAATTGTCATTTCTTCATCATTTTCAACATATCTGCATTTATGAACCTTCAACAAAACCTCACAATATCTTTTGCCATATCTTCACCAGATTTTGACCTTATTTTCACACTATTGTCTTCATATCGCCACCATATCTTCATTATATATATATATATATCTTGGCATTATTTCCATCCTATGTTGACAAAATCATTACCATATCTTCACCAGATTTTCACTATGTCCTCACCATATCTTCACCAAGTCTTCACAGGATTTCATCATCCTTGTTTTAACGTCATTATATCTTCACTATATCTTCACCAGATGTTAACCATATCCTTCCCCCATCTTCATCATATCTTCACAAGCTTTTCACCATATCTTCAACGAATCTTGATGGTGTCATCATATCACCAATTATTCATCACATCTTCACAAAAAAAAGTCACCATATCTTCATCATACATGTCTTTACCATATCTTCATCTTATTGTCACCATATCGCCACCGTATATTCACCATCTCCTCACCAGATTTTCACCAGAATTTCATCATTTTTCCATCTCTTCACCAAGCTTTCATCATATATTCATCGTATCTTCACACCATATTCAGCAGATCTTCACCAACTCGTCATTATTTCCTCATCATATATTCATCATGTCTTCCCCAGGTGCTCACCATATCTTCACCATGTTTTTTCCAAGTTCTAATTACATAATTATCTTCATCATATATTCATCATATCTCCATCAAGTCATCATATTTTCATCGTTGCCTCACCAGATTTTCATCATATTTTCACCAGATGTTCATCATATCTTCATCGTATCTTCACCATATCTTCGCCATTTTATTGCCCAAATTCGATCATATAATTATCACGCTCTCACCATAGCATATCTTTGCCATTTGCTCACCAGATATTCACCACATCTTCATCATATTTAACCGCCTTCGGCGTGTTCCGCCGGCCACCATGGAAAGAGCTATCCTGTAAGCTGCAAACAGCTCTTGCACAGTCCCAGCAAGAACATAGTTTTTGCGTGAAACATGGTGTTTGTGGATAGCACAGTTTTTGTGTAAAACAGCTCTTTGTGTAAAAGAGGGTTTGGACGCAAAAGCATTGGTTTTGTTCAAACCACGGTTTAAGTTTAAACCAAAGCATGTGTGTAAACCGGGGTTTTGGAAAAGGCCATGTTGAGAAAGGCTTTGGAAAAGGCCATATTTAGAAAGATCATGCGTGTAAAAGGTGTTCGGCACAAAAGCCAGTGGATCAAGTATTGGATATAAGAAGCGACGGAGCAAACCAATGGCAAACACAACAAAAAACGAAAACAACCATCGCAATGACAGCAAGATGTGCAAAACCAAGCCGGTGTTGAGCGAGGCGTGGGCAGAGTTGAGCCCAAAACAACGGAAGGAAAGACGAAGACGAAACGAAGAAGAGCTAGGCGGGCGGAGGGGGGGTGGGTTCAAGTTAGACGAGGCAAAAATCCGAGCCAAGGGGAGACAAAGCGGACAGTACAACTACGAACAAGCAAGATCCACAAGACACGCCGGCAGGCCGGCGGATTATCACCATATCTTCACCTTATTTTCACTATATCTTCACCATATCGTCATCATATCTGCACCATATACTCATCCTATGTTCGTCATATCTTCATCATATATTTCAAACCTTCATCATTTCGTCGCCATATCTTCACGCGATGTCCACCAAATTTTCATCATATCATCATCAGATCTTCACCAAATTTTCACCATATTTTCATATCTGCATCAGATGTTCATCATATCTTCACCATATCTTCATTAGGTTGTCACCATGTCTTCACCGGTTTCCATCATATCTCCATATTTCCCCAAACATTGTGTCCATACTGAGGGTGTTTCGACGGAAAGTGTATGTTCCCCAAACAGAATGTCCACGCTGAGAGTTTCTGACGGTAAGTGTAAAGGCCGGTTCTTTATCAGGGTGCTCCAGCTGGTCTGCGGCCTTTTGCCTGTAAATTTCTGTATAAAGTGGCTCTTGTGAAATCTCCAAGTGCATTTTGATAGCGCAGGCTCGCACAAAGTATGTGTCCCATTTCTGGGCTCGGGCATTTTTGCTGCAAATTTCCGTAGAAAGTGGCTCTTGTGAAATGTCCAAGTGCATTTCGATTGCGCAGGCTCGCACAAAGTCTGCGTCGCGGTTCTGGGCTCGGGCATTTTTACCTGTAAATTGCCGTATTAAGTGGCTATTGTGACATGTCCGTCCGTGTGCATCTCGATGGCGCACGCTCGCACAAAGTCTGCGTCCCAGTTCTGGGCTGGGGCATTTTTTCCTGTAAATTTCTATATAAAGTGCCTCTTGTGAATTGCCCAAGTGCATTTCGACTTCGCAGGCTTGCACACAGTATGTGTCCCGGTTTTGGGCTCGGGCATTTTTCCTGTAAATTTCTATGTGAAGTGGCTCTTGTGAATTGTCCAAGTGCATTTCGACTGCGCAGGCTCGCACAAAGTTTGCGCCGCGGTTCTGGGTTCGGGCATTTTTCCCTGTAAATTGCCGTATTAAGTGGCTCTTGTGACATGTCCACGTGCATTTCGACGGCGCAGGCTGGCACAAAACGTGGGGCATGGTCTTTCCGCACAAGCTCTTGTGCAATATCCAAGTGCATTTCGATTGCGCAGGCTCGCAGAAATCTTGTCTTTGTCTTGTCTTTCATAGTCTTGCTCCTGCTGTCTTGTCTTGTCTTCCATTGTCTGGCTCTTCCGAAGCATTCGCTGCATCCGAGGCTGGGATCTGCGGTTGCGCGATCTTGTCTTGTCTTCCATATATTACTCTTCCAAATCCTTTGCTGCATCCAAGGCGGGGATCTCTGCGGTTGCTTAGATGTCGTGTGTCGTGTTTCGTCCGTCTTGTCTTGTCCTGTCTTGTTTTCCATAGTCTCGCACGTCCGAAACATTCGATGCGTCCGAGGCGGGGATCATTGTCCTGTATATACTGTCGTGTTCTGTCCGTCTTGTTTTGTCGGTTGCGGGATATGTGGTGTGCTGGGTTTTGTCCGTCTTGTCTTGTCTTGTCTTGTCTTGTATTGTGTCTTGTCTTGTCTTGTGTCTTGTCTTGTGTCTTGTCTTGTGTCTTGTCTTGTCTTGTGTCTTGTCTTGTCTTGTCTTGTCTTGTCTTCCACAGTCTTGCACTTCCGGAGCATTCCTGCATCCGAGGTGGTGTTCTCTGCGGTTGCGGAAAATATAATATAATGTGCCGTGTTTCGTCCGTCTTGTCTTGTCTTGTCTTGTCCTGTCTTGTCTTCCATAGTTAGTCTTGCACTTCCGAAGCAGTCACTGCTGCATCCGCGGCGGGGATCTCGTCCATAGTCTTGCCCTTCCGCAGCATTCGCTGCATCCGAGGCGGGGATCTCTGCGGTAGATGTTGTATGTCGTGTTTCGTCCGTCTTGTCTTGTCTTGTCTTGTCGTGTCTTGTCTTGTCTTGTCTTGTCTTGTCTTGTCTTCCACAGTCTTGCACGTCCGAAACATTCGGTGCATTGACCGCAGCCGCTCTCCACAGTTAAAACAAGGTAGCGTATGGTAGCGTTTTTTTCACACCTGGCGCATGCTTGTTGATGTATCCGGGCTATCAAAGCATGTTTCCACATGTCACATATAACACGTGTTTCGTAGTTGCCTTTAAAATATGTGCAGTGCATCGTTTCAAGCACGGTTGGTTTCTGTTCCTATTTACAGTCTCATTGCTGTCATGAAACGTGTAACAATGATGTCTAGTCAAGTCATGTCTTTCAGTTGCATTTCCTGAGATTTTGTTTGTACCGCTTGCTTGGCTCAGCCGGTTGTGTCTGTGAAGCTGCGGTTGCGCGTTTAAATGATGTCGCCAGGTGGTGCTCAGAATGCATCACACAGCTAAAAAGGGGCCTGCCGACCATCCCCGTTCTCTTGCAATGCCTTTTTGTGGAATCTCTGCGGTTGCGCGAGATGTAGTGCAAAGGCAGCCGGGGCATTCGATGCATCCGAGTCAGGGGTCTCAGTCCTGTGCCGCTTTGTTTCGTCTGTCTTGTCTTGTCTTCCGTCTATCTCGCACCGTCTTGTTTTGTCATCCGTCTGTTTTGCACTGTCTTGCTTCGTTCGTTTTGCAGTGTACTGGACGCTGTCTTCAAATGATATCCTTGGCGAAGATGAACCAGGTTCTGAGGAACGCTCGCGCCACACGCGTCGCCCAGCGGTACTTATTGAACTTGCCTTTCACCGTCGCAAAACTCCATATAATGCTCATACGAGCACCTATCTCCGTTCCAAACCATAGTTCGGCGCGTCCAAGTTGCCATCGTCAAGGTCAATTGGCCAAGACACATTCATTTGGCCATTTGCTCGTACCACGGCCAATAGTGCTGAATGCAACAGAATCATTTTCAACATCATCAACCTTCACTTCATCTTCGGCAACATCAACATTAATTCTATATCATTTTTCATCCTACTCAACAATATGATCCTCAACATCATCATCATCATCATCATCATCACCATCATCATCATAATCATAATCATCATCATGATCATGAACATTGTCGTACATTATCTTCCCACCCCCCAGACTGTTTGGGGTCTCTTGCCGGGATATTGTTTTATCCATTTTCAGATCAACAAATTCTTCCAACATCTCCGCATCTTAGGTGCCGAAAGACCTTCCTGGAGGTGGTTCCATCCAGCAATTGGATGCCTGCAGCCAAGCGGACCCAGAGTTTGCTGGTTGGTGACCTACTTCAGGAAGCGTTGTGGCAGGGAACGGGATCGGTGGTATGTCTGAAAATGGGCTATACCGTACCTTTAAAAAAATGGATCTAAATGGCCATTTTATGGGGAAAATGATGATGAAAGAATGGATTTAGGGGTCAGACAAGCCCAAAACATTTATATCATGATTTTAACCACCAGGTACAAAATACATCAAAATAACACATACTTGAAATAGGTGTTCATAAGCGGCATTTTCCGGTGATGTCGAGTCAAGTCTTGGGGAACCGAAAAATTGGATGTTGTTGCTCCCCTAAATGACAACATTTTCGCGTTTCCAGGTGCAATCATTTTAAACGGTGTAACTGCTGCAAAAACAGGAACGATGGATGATTGAACGCCCGTTATTTGACGTGATCTAGGCATATTGCATCGATCAACTATGCGAAAACACGAACCAACTATTCTGCGGATGTACAGAATCGAAGTCGTCAGACCGCTACAGGACACGGTGAACCAGCCGAACTACCATTTATTCGCTCTTTTGTTTAGGGCCATTTTTGGGGGGCGTCATTTGAAACCCGGGTTGGTGCTGCTTCAGAGTCAGAGGCTTAAAGAATCATGTGCCCGTTGGGACCATGATTCTTCCATGTGTTTCCAGTCAAAGCACCAAGACAACTTTGAAATTCAAACGCAGGTGGATCGTTGGTCCCTTTAGCGAAATATTCGCTGCAGTCTTATAGCTGTTAGTTGGCAACAAACCCAGTTGGGTATTCAGTCCTGGTTAAGCCTAGCAAGAGGTCGTTAAACAAAAATACATGAAACCAAGGGCATTCTTTCGCAGAAACTCAATAACCGACTGGCTTGGACGATGTCTTTGCCCCCTGCAGGGGAAATAGCCGCAACAAACTGAAAGTGCGCTTGCTTTGCTTTGTCTCTATGTGCTTGGTCTAGCATCCCAGCAAGTCAGTGCTTCCTAACCTTGGTGGGAAATTTTGTCCCATTTCTCGCTGGGTCCAGTCATGTCCAGTCTCTGTTGTGTACCGCGACCGCTTGAATGATTCCTGGGAGGTATATCCAACCGCAGCCCCACGCATGTCCTGATCAATAGAGGTGTAAACACCATTCAAAAACATTTTTAGCTGATGGTAAATCGTATCGCGGTATACCAGTCATTGGCCCATAGCGGTACTTCCCCTATGCGGATAATAACCCATCGCCCTTAGAAATGCAGTAGACCTCTGTGAAAAATTGGATCATAAAATCAACATGTCCACTCCCAAACCTGGGTTTCAAGGTGTTTATCATCCAGAATCCCCATGAAGATTCCCGGTCACAATCACGTAGCCAAATGGAGTCATAACGACCTTACGTTGCGGGGATCATCCCCAAATGGCATGATCTCAGGTTGGTGAATTGTGAAGCAATTCAGCCAGAATATGGGTACGGGATGGTACGGGTCAAATGGCAATGGTGTGGCTTCCATATCCCATTTTATTCCCTTTCTATCGCCATTATACGTACAATCAATACAATCATTTTAATTGTTAAATCACCATAGAAAAGGTATATCGCCATTTTTCATGATGAATTTAAAATGTTTGGACGCAACAAAATAGTTAAAGCATAAATCAGTTGAATCCTCTTTATGCTTCAGGAGGACGAGGCGGACACCACGGCAGACCGCATCTTACGCCGTGCGAGTTGCTCATTTCAGTGGCGGTCAGCACCTTGGGGTCGAAATTCCTGGGTTGATATAGTGGGATTTTAATGGGATTTAACCATCAGAAATAAGATTTTGATGGAATGTAATGATTTAACTGACCAATATGGTGACTTCACCAGTGAATCATGGATTTGGGTGTGCCTTAAACATTGGGTATAGCAACAATGATGATTCCCCAATGGTTTTGTTGGAGGCCCTCCCTAGCTCCAAAAAAGAAATGGCGCATCTGCCTCATAGGTGTATATGTATCTCTATATATATATAATAATAATTATAAAAATATTATTTGTATATATCAACTGATATTTGCCCCCCCTCCCTTCCTGTACCCGGATTTTGGATCATGTGGGTACTTTGAAGGACATTCTAAACCATCTGAGATTGTGGTTGAAACCCTACCAGGCCAATTTCCCGAAGAACAAACACATATGAACAAGAGAACGACTTCACTGCCCTGTTCACCCACTACTTCCTTCATCAGGTAGTGCGGTAATTGTGTCTCGACACCTTTGTTCAACACGATGCGAAACATCATACGCGCGCAGATCAGCAATGGATGACCGAACCTACGGAAAGAACACATTTACTGTATATTGTGAACCGAGATGAAACTGCTTTTTGCAATAAATTCCACGGAAGGAAAAAACCGAGAACTTGTCACATGTTCGGCTCTATTTCAAGGAAGGGTGCAATCGGTCTTTCTGCCAGCAAAGAACGTACATGTTGATTTTGCTGCAATCTCCCTGATTTCTACACACTATAAATGTATGAATATGTATAGATCATGTGTAATTAATCTATTTACATATGACATCATAGACATAATAGACCATTTGAATACCAAAAGAGGGACAGATTGATCTACACAGATCCATTTGCTCAACATCTGAGGATTGGCCTGAAGGAATTTCCCGTGGCAGCTATGGACATCCTTCCTTATGCAGGGCACCCTGCGTTTATGCTTTCTACGGGACCTGCATGAAGGGTCCAAGGTGCAATTTCTGCCACCTCGAGCACTCCAGTCCAAAGCGCAAGCTCACAAGACAGGAGACGTTGCGGGCAGATTTTTTGTGTTTACTGAAAATACGGTATATTATATTTTAAGAATCATTATGTATAGTTATAGTAATATAATGTAACATAATGTAACACACACATATATATATAATATGTTTTTTTAGCTACAGTAATTGTTTTCGCGTATGTTCCCCCCTATGAAGGCGGCATAAAACACCCACAACTCGGGGGTTGGGGGTATAGCCATTTGATGAAGTTCACATGTGAGTGACATGCTGCTGAGCACATCCAGAATTTACCAAGTAATTAGGGATGCGCTCTCAGGGAGTACGCTCAACTTTTTGTTGGCATCTTTGCCGACGTATGCCATTTGAGTCTCTGGCCCACCCTGCTAGTTGGTTGTTTCTTGGTGTTCTGCCGTTCTCGTACCTGGTTTGATGGGGATATAACTAATTAATCCCAGCAGTTCAGTAAGATGAATCCCTATCAATGCACCACTAAAATCAGCAAATTTGGAGGACTCATGTCTTACAACTTACAACCAAGCTTTAGAATGTGGGGAGTTAGGAGAGGCAAGCTTTATATCAGATGCCGGAGTCGCTGGTGCTTTTGATCTTCAATTCACACCTCGACAAACACGTCACCAAGCTTCAGCTGCAGCAACCCTTGCGCTTGGTGCTGGCAATTGTGGCACGACGTGTGAGGCTGTTGAGACCTCAGTGGCCAACAGGCTTTGAGTTCAGGATGGCCCTTGACCAGATGTGGAACCTGCGCTCCTTCTCCTTGGGCCGCTTGGTTGATTGCATTCTGCAGTGTCCACAGGTGGATGCCAGCTTCAGGCAGGAAGTGAAGAGCTTGTTTGACAGCATTCGGAAGGATATGACGGATATGAACAAATAAAATACCTAGGTCTTCAAAAGGTCAAGAATTTCTGGTCGACCCCTAGTGTTCTACTTTTTCTTGTTGTTAATTCAAAAAGTAGATGCTTTGGTCGATATCTCCAAAAACCGGTCGTGAACTTTACGCCCTCCACTGTAACCTTGAATTTTCTGTCACTCCTCGACCCCCTGCATTGATCATAGAATTTGGTCATGGAAAAGCCTGGAGTGATCTGGAGTTTCAAAAGGTCTCCCACAACGTGCACCCCAATCCGCATGGTGATATGCACACACACAGTGTTCAAACTTGCCATCATGACCATGCTTCTTCCAAAGACTTAATCCTGTGAGAACTATGCAAAACTAGACGACGGATGGCCCGAGAGCGTAGAGGAGCAGAGTCTTCTGTTGTTAGTATGGAGACACTATATTACAAGACAATATATCAAAGATGTATCGTAAGCAGACGAGAAGAGTAGTATCAAGACAGTATATCACAAGCGCAAGACAATAGTTTGCATCGTATCTTTCGTATAGCTTTTCACACACAGAACTTTTTACGGACAGACGCTTTTGCACGCAGCGATTTTTACACACAGACGCTTTTACGCACAGAAGCTTTTACACACAGAAGCTTTCACACACAGAAGCTTTTACACACAGAAGCATTTACACACAGACACTTTTACACACAGAGGCTTTGACACACAGACACTTTTACACACAGGCGCTTTTACACACAGAAGCTTTTACACACAGACGCTTTTACACACAGACGCTTCTACACACAGACACTTTTACACACAGACGCTTTTACACAACAGACGCTTTTACACACAGACGGTTTTACACACAGACGCTTTTACACAACAGACGCTTTCACACACAGACGGTTTTACACACAGACTCTTTTACCCACAGACGCTTTTACACCACAGACGCTTTTACACAACAGACGGTTTTACACACAGACTCTTTTACCCACAGACGCTTTTACACCACAGACGCTTTCACACACAGACGGTTTTACACACAGACTCTTTTACCCACAGACGCTTTTACACCACAGACGCTTTTACACATGTGACGCTTTTACACAGAGAAGCTTTTACACACAGAAGCTTTACACACAGACACTTTTACACACAGACGCTTTTACACACAGACATTTTTACACACAGGCTCTTTTACACACAGACGCTTTTACACACAGACGCTTCTACACACAGACACTTTTACACACAGACGCTTCTACACACAGACACTTTTACACACAGACGCTTTTACACAGACTCTTTTACACACAGACGCTTTTACACAACAGACGCTTTCACACACAGACGGTTTTACACACAGACGCTTTTACACACAGACTCTTTTACACACAGACGCTTTTACACCACAGAAGCTTTTACACAGACGCTTTTACACACAGAAGCTTTTACACATAGAAGCTTTTACACATCACTTTTACACAGACACTTTTACATACAGACACTTTTACACACAGGCGCTTTTACACACAGACAGTTTTACACACAGACGCTTTTACACACAGACGCAGCCTCATTTCGTGCGAAAGTGTTCGGGGGACGAGAGGGACGACTTGAAATCGCAATTTTACCGCATTTTTTGACGATCGACCTTCATTTCGTGCGAAAGGGTTGCGCGGGACGACTTGAAATCGCAAATTTGGCCTCAGTTTTTGGCGATCGAACCTCATTTCGTGCGAAAGGGTTCGCGGGACAAGAGGGACGACTTGAACTCGCAATTTTACCGCAATTTTGGCGATCGAACCTCATTTCGTGCGAAAGGGTTGCGCGGGACAACTTGCAAATCACAATTTTACCTCAGTTTTTGGTGATCGAACGTCATTTCGTGCGAAAGGGTTGCGCGGGACCACTTGCAAATCGCAATTTTACCTCAGTTTTTGGCGATCGAACGTCATTTCGTGCGAAGGGGTTGCGCGGGACAACTTGCAAATCGCAATTTTACTTCAGTTTTTGGCGATGGAACTTCATTTCGTGCGAAAGGGTTGCGTTTCGTGCCGTCTCGTTGGCACTGCCCCGCGCCTTCAAGATCTTCAAGAGAGAAATAGAAAAGAAGGAGAGAGCAAGAGGGCAAGAGAGCAAGAGGGCAAGAGAGAAGATGTGAAGATGAGAAGGTGTGAAGATGTGAGGATGTGAAGATGTGAAGATGTGAGGATGAGAAGATGTGAAGATGAGCAGATGTGAAGATGAGAAGATGTGAAGATGTGAGGATAAGGATGAGAAGATGTGAGGATGAGAAGATGTGAAGATGAGAAGATGTGAGGATGAGAAGATGTGAAGATGCGCAGATGAGAAGATGTGAGGATGTGAAGATAAGCGGATGTGAAGATGTGAGGATGTGAAGATGTGAGGATGTGAAGATAAGAAGATGTGAAGATGTGAGGATGTAAAATGAGAAGATCTGAAGATGTGAAGATGAGAAGATGTTTGACAAACCACCACTATTGGAAGAACCCTGCGCTCAGACGCTCTCGGGAAAAATGCAGAACGCGCATTTAATTTTTCTGATTTTTTTGGCATATCGTTCAAAAATCAAAGTGACCTAGTTTTGGGGATTTGTAGGCGTCTGATGGTTTTTGTAGGCATTTGCAAGCTTTTTGAAGTAGTTTTGAAGGTTTTTGTAGGGGCGAACTTTCGCATAAAACGTGCACATCTCACACAAAAATGAAAATAGTCTAAGAAATGGTGAGCCAAAGAGTCTGTCAGTGGCGCTTCAAATCCGATTGACCAACTACTCGTAACATGGCTGGTCAGAGTTTAGCGTTTCGATTTTATTCGCTTATGGTGGATAGAGGGTAGGTGGTGATTGACCGTATCGATTTGGGGCCACTTGTCATTGCATCATTTAGTGTAATCAATGGTCCACATTAGAAAATTCAATTGAAATAGGATTGGATGATGTTGAATGTGTAACATGGTAATGCAGCATGACATGAAACCAGGGAAATAGGTAAACTGCAAAAGTAGGCGCTTTGGTCAAGAAATACTTTTTTCTGACGGATATCGCAAGAATAAGTCAACAACATTCAACAACCTAGTTTCCCAGAAAAATGTGCTACGAACGAAGACCTAGGTCGGTAATTTGTATGTTCGGCTGCGAGTCAAAATGTACAGCCTGATCCACACCCTGAACCCACAGGCCGATCCATATCCCTGATCCATACAAAACACTGGTGATCCAGACCGATCCACACGTCTGGATCACCGTCGAATTTTAACGCGCTATATAGAATGGCTGAATATCATGATGGATTCAGTGTCGCTTATGCATGCACAGCAAACTTGAATTGAGGATGCATGGAGCGTCCTGAGTAAAAGGATTTGCAGGCGTGCTTCGGTGTGGTGCGCCATGTCTCCCGGTGCTCCTCTTCCTCACCTATAAGTAGGGTGAGATAACGAATGTTTTTTTGGACTGAGGTGGAACAGAAGGAATATCAAGGACGTGTTCATCCAACATTGCGGAAGGAAGAGGACACATCTAAATCTTATTTGAAACAGACCGGCTGCGTAAAGCGACAAGTGAATCCTTGGGTGACTGGATGTGACTGAATTTCTCAAGCCATTCCTTGCGGAAGATGTTTTCCAATCAAAAAGAATCTGTGGTTTGCTGGACATGTCACCGATAGAATGACATCCGGGATGTCTTCCTATAATGACCTTAGAAAGCTCGAGGTGAAGGTATTCGACGTCTGGTATTGCAGATGAGCTTGGAATATGATATTCAAGTACATTCAGACCACATTAAAAAAACACAATCAAAAAACAAGTTGCTTGGGGACATGTCTTGATCATCCAGTCCGAACCGGATACGAAGAAGTCCCGAAGACCAGATGAGGCCAGCATGCCCCGCAGATATAAACAACCAATAACCAAGGTCAAATGCAGAACTCTTAGGGTTAGTTATTTACATGATTTTACATGTATATATTGTTGTTTAAGATGTTGGCGGGAGATGGCGAAAGGCTGTCTAGCTTTGAGGCGACAACATCCGGTGGTTGTTCCGTGTGGTTTCTGGTGGTCATCCCTTTCTTGCTGAGAAATTTGAGAGAACTAAACACCACCGCAAACAATCAAAATCAAGATGAGATAAGTTTCTTGTTGTCCTGTCTTTTTGGCACACTTGATGGCTCCGATCTGATGAAACAGAATTGTTCAAGCAATGTTTCAAGACGTATATATGATCGACTGGTGGGTTTCGACTCATGGATCCACGTCGGCCTTCAAGATTCAGCCAGCGAAGCACCTGTGCGACCCTTGTGGTGTTGTATATATAATTTTGTTTCCTCGCGTGGTGTAGCGTGAGAGCACATTGTTCTCTCCAGCCGTGTATGTTATATATAGACATCGTATGAAGACGTGCCGTGAAGAAAAAACTCTGAAGGGCATCAAGATTCTCCATGAGTCTCAGGCCAACTTTTCAACGCCCCGAAATTTTGCACCAGGCGCGGTTTTAAACATGTTTTCAGATGGTGAAATATGGTTCATACACCCCATTAACTTCCATTAACTATAAAATACTTACAGGTATCTGGGGGCCCCACCTTGTACTGTATATGTATAATTTTAAATATACATATATATATATATACATATACATATACAGTATTTAAACGCCTTCGGCGTGTTCCTCCGGCCACCATGGAAAGAGCTATCCTGCAAGCCGCAAAAAGCGCTTGCACAGGCCCAGCAAGAACAGTTTTTTTGTGTAAAACATGGGGTTTGTGAACAACACGGTTTTTGTTTCAAACAGCATTTTGTGTAAAAGACGGGTGTAAACGACGGTTTTGATGCAAAGACCTGGTTTTTGTTTAAACCAAAGCATCTGTGTAAACCAGGGTTCTGGAAGAAAAACATATTTAAAAAGGCTATGCGTGTAAAAGGTGTTCGGCACAAAAGCCAGAGGATCAATATAATAAGCGACCGAGCAAACCGATGGCAAACGCAACAGAAAAGACCGAAACAACCATCGAAATGACAACAAGATGTGCAAGGCCGCGCCGGTGTTGAGCGAGGCGTGGGTAGAGTTGATCCCAGCACAACGTAAGGAAAAATGAAGACGAAACGAAGATGAAGAAGAGCTATGCAGGGGGGAGGGGGCGGGGGGGTGGGGGAGGGGAGGGGGGTGCAAGTTAGACGAGGCAAAAATCCGCGCCAAGGGGAAAGTCTAGACAAAGACAAAGTCAAAACAGTACAGCTACAAACAAGCAAGATCCACAAGACACGCCGGTAGGCCGTCGGATATATATTGTATAAAGATGTATAAAGCCCATTGTCAATAAAAACACTTTCACTTTCACCTCACTAATAAGCATCCCCTAGAATTTGCAAAGACAAAGCCACACACTTACACACTTACACACGTACACACACGCACACTTGCACACACACACACACGTGCACACACACACACTGCTACTTGGGCCAATGTTGCCGTAGTGAACGTGGATGCGCCGTATTTCTTGAAGCATCTGCAACATGTCCCGACAACAAGAAGCTATAAAACAACCCAATTCTACATACATCGTGGGATCTATCAGATACAGAATGTAATTTGACAGGACATAACAATCGAAAATGACCAATTTACCGCCCATTGAAAATTGTGACTTTCAATAGCAAACTGTTAGTCATCATTACCAGAGGGTACATGCACTTGACTTGATTTGACTTTTAGGATCCCCAGGATTTTGAAATCGGTTGATGCTAGAGGTAGCTGTTTTCTTGAGATCGCGGTCCTGGTCAGGATATTCTAGAGTCGGGCTGGCCTCTATTCAGCATCCTGGCTGCTGCCCGGGTGCCTAGATCCAAAAAACTGGGATCTGGCCGCTGGCCCCATTTTTTGGACAAGGCCGGTTGTTGGAATTGTTGCTTCAAAATGGCCTTGTTTGAAATTCGAAATATGATGATTCATAATTGGTGACTTTTTCTTTGTGTGTGTGCGTTTGAGTTTATCTGCATACGGAATGACCCAAAATGATCGGCCAATTCAGGACCGGATTACCCCGGAGGGTGTTCGCCCACTGGTGACGGGCACAATAGTTTCCTGATGATTCCTGTAGGAGATTTACAATTTGTCATTACTAGCCTACTCCTTTGCCACTCTCAGGCGGAAAAACGCAAATAATGCAGATGGCTGCAGGTTCAACTATACCTTGACGCGTCGTTCTAAGTCGCCAAAGCTGGAGCAATATTTAATAAAATGAGATAAAGCGAGGGTGTCCGGTGAATTCAATTCATTTTACGAGACCCAAAAGGCCAAACGGCCAAACTTTCAAAACATATCTTGGCCCTAAGCCCGTGAGAGTTGTTTCAAGTTTCAAGTTCTTGAGCGATGGCATGATGGGTAATCAATGGTTTTCGACATTATACAACGGTTTTACACGGTTTTCTTGTCCAATTTTCCACCCACAATAGTAACCTTCACAGCCGGGGGTTGTTACTTGGGCGACGGTCAGAGCCCACTTCCGATAGTTATTGCTTGATCCCAGAAGAGAAGGAACACTTTTCAGGAAATCTTAGAAATGCGCATGTATATTTAACATAATTATAATAACATATATTATACACAAATCATGATATCTGGTTAAAAACACACACAAACACTATAACAGTAGGATATTCCATGACCCCCCTCGAAATAACTTCCAATAATTCTCTGATTATTGTATATTTGTTTAGATATCTCATTAATTTTCATAATTACATCTTCTATGATTGCTTCTTCCACAAGGTGGCGGAGAGATTCCGGGTGCCAAACAGCAGTGAGCTACTCAGATCTCAAGTTTGGCACCTGCAATGGCCCATCATGGTCCACAAAATGAGGCGTGTTAGTAGTTAGTATTCATTAAACCATATGAATCCAAGGGATACAAAATTTTGAGCTACACCCAGACTGGCCCCAGAGTCCCCAACCATTGCGGATTTCCGCAGCGTTTTTGGCCGGTTTTGGCCGAAGGCTGCGAGACTTCTCTGCTGGAACCCTTTGTTGAAACCTTTGACAATGCCATCGCAGCACCTGGGCTTCATGGCTTGTGCCAAGTCGTACAGTTTTACGGTGCTGAATTTCCCGAGGGGCCTATGATGGGCCCCCCCCTGGTACGTTTGTTGGTTCATAAACTCCATTCACATCCATTCGCTAAATACGGATATATCTTTACATATATCTATACATATCCATTATCCTATAACCCCACTCAGCCATTTCCGGCGGCAACCTTATAGCATTGTGTCCTTCTTCTTGATCGGTTTTTCAGGTCTCAACTCATCAATGTGCTGCGGTTTTGCTCGAGGCCAGCGCGACCTGGGCACTGAGTTGTGCAGGAAAGTTGCCAGAAGGAACACCTCCAAATTGGAGATGAAAACTAACCAGAAACACAATAATGTCACCCCCAATTTCATAAATTATATATTTGGGGTGTGTTAGTCCCAAAATAATGATCGAAGGAAGTTTAGAAGTCAAACTTCCGACAATATGGACAGATGGAAAAGCAGAGGTGGGAAGAGTCAGAGAAGAGAAGAGTAATTAGAAGAGAGAAGATCAGAGAAGAGAGAGAGTCAGAAGAAAGAAGATGCAGGTGCGCGAAAGGTAGGAAAGTCGCGAAACACATCGAAACACTGTGTTTTTCCAATGATTTATGACTCCGGAGGGTCGAAAAGTAGGCTCGCTGAAGCGGCGGGTGCGGAGCCATTTGGCCAGATGAGAGATTAAAAATTGCACGCCGTTGTGGCGCGAAGCACATTTTTAAGTCAAAATGTACAAAAAAATCACCAATGTCGGACCACTTTTGGAAGTTGACATGTCGAAAAAGTGCACGCCGTTGTGGCGCGAAGATGCGCGAAGCACATTTCGATGTCAAAATGTTACAATGTTACAAAGCACGTCAGCGTTGGAGCACTTTTGGAAGTTGAGATGTTCAAAGCGTGTACGCCGTTGTGGCGCGAAGCACATTTCCAAGTCAAAATGTTAAGAGCACCAGATGCTCGGACCACTTTTGAAGGCTCAGATGTGGTTTTGCATTGCGGGCGCAAGGGATTCTGCACTTTGCCAAAAGTGAGCAAAACGTGATGGTTTTTGTGGCATTTGCAAAAGCATTGGCAGGTGTGGGACATTTGAAGAGGATCTGTAAAGATGCAGTTTCCGTGGCAGGCGCAGTACAAGAGACATGTTCAGCAGATGTTAGGAGGTCAGGGCGCTGATTTCCTGACAGGGGTTGCATTTTGGAGCATCAGATCTTCAGGTTTGCTGAGATGATTTTGCGTGACAGGTGCAGCACTTCATATGGCATCACTTTTTCGTGGCAGGCGCAGTACTTTGGACAGGTGGAGTGGAAAAATCGCAAAACGCATTGGTACGAGGCCGTCAGCTCTGCACTCAACTTTCTATATGTTTGAAGGAAGTCTCGCAGAATTGTTTCGTTTTTGATGTTGTCAACTTCGAAAATTGAGGAAGTCTCGCAGAATTGCTTCGTTTTCGATGTTGCCAACTTCGAAAATTGAGGAAGTCTCGCAGAATTGCTTCGTTTTCGATGTTGCCAACTTCGAAAAAATTGCGGAAGTCTCGCAGAATTGCTTCGTTTTCGATGTTGCCAACTTCGAAAATTGAGGAAGTCTCGCAGACTCGCCGCGCTTCTGATGTTGTCAAGTTCAAAAATGGAGGAAGTGTCGCAGAATAGCTTCGTTTTCAAGCTTGCAGATAGACAGATAGTAAATAGACGACTACAACTACAACTACCACTACACTACACTACTACTACAGCTACTACTAGTACAACTACTACTAAAACAACAACAACTACTACAACTACAACAACAACTACTACTACTCCTACTCCTAC